GCTCGTAGACCATTAAGTCCCTAGGACCCAATTCTGTGGCCCATGAATCCTAACTTCTGCTAATTCATAAAATGAGTACGGAAATCTCTTTTGAATTATGAAGCTCCTGATAACTATTCACTCCTTTCTTTAGAGCCCCACAGCCTCACTCAACAATGAAACAAAGTTCAGAGCATTGCATAACATTTTGCACTCAAAAGGTGTCACGAAAACACTAAACTTTCACATCTGCATTTCTTCTGAGCCATATAACAAATTTAAAGCAGTTTACAACAGCTCTTCCAGGATGTAGCCACATAAAAACTAATTCCGATTACGAACGACGACACCTCGATGAAACAAAGGAAGCACATATCATGATTTCAGAAGCCAATGAAGTATTTTCATTATGACATGGAAGCTGCTCTTACATCTTATCCGCCAGTTCACTAAATTTACGTTAAATTGCCATAATAAAACCAAACTGATATCTTTCAGGTTGATTTAAATATAATTTCTCCATAGGTCTACCTTCCACTTTGCACTCAGTGTTTGTGGAACTGTTCAGTCAAATTCTGATCAGAGTTCACATAAGCCAAACAGTAGTTTAATTTTATCTAAAATGAGATTATAAATTTTCAGATGGAAAATATTACGAAATTCCTGGAATAACTTGAGCGCTGAGTCAGGGTGAATGACTATAAATTATTCAAAATAATCCCAGCGTGTTTTAGAAAGGGAACATTAACTCTTTGTTGAAGGTCTTTCCTTCTAATTATACAAGGGCGATTATGCAACCTTTGAAAATGACTTCGTAAATGAAGAAAATTTCCTTCATAAATATTAATGAAGTAGGATCTAATTTATTCGCTAAATTTCTATACAGCTCGTGAGCTTGTTGGCGACCATACCACGTTGTAAGCACCGGTTCTCGTCCGATCACCGAAGTTAAGTAACGTTGGGCCCTGTCAGTACTTGCATGAGTGACCGGCTGGGAATACCGGATGTTGCCGGCTTTTTGTGCGTCGGTAGTAGAGCGATTATGACTCTCGCCGATCACGCACATGGTCCGAGGTTCGATCCCCTACCGACGCACACCTGATATCTATGGTCGGCCTGCAAAATTTGGGCTACCGATATCATATGCTGAAAATTCCTTACTTGTACCAAAAACTACGGTGTGGAATCAAGCTGTCATCAAAAAGAAAACTCAACAATCTGTGCTACATATACCATGTAAAACATACAACGCATAAATAGCAAAGCGGTGGGTGAAAACAAACTCTGGGTCAGGTTCAGACATGTAATTGTGTGAAAGGCTATAAGAGATTAAAAATGAAAATTACACTTCAGCAACGACATTCTAATAAACATTTAGTTATCAGAAAGAGGATTTGCGAGAATTAAGAACTGTACAATGGATAGTGATAATAACATTATTAATAATCCTAAAAATCGCAGCACGTTTACTGTTGGTTTGTGGTAGGATCAAGGAAGTATATTTCTGTATGTTTTATACCATCACCATGCTCATCTTGAAAGATAGATTTCAAGCTAGTGGCTTGAAGTTTCTGTAGCAGTGTCTATTTTTTACAGGATGGGGTTGCTAGCCTCATGCCCAACTTTCCCCCTTTACCAGTCTTACTACTGGCTTAGTGAGGTAAAGGAGTTCGTCGGTCGGGAATCGAACCCCGGACCATGTGAATGGTCGGTGAGCGCCCTGACCGCTATGCCACCGACGCACAAAGACTTAGACTGAAGATTTTATTATGCTTTATGTTTAAGGCAGATACGTGTATTTTTGAGCTAATTTTAGAAAAATATTCTGCTAGTAAAAGCTGACTACAGGTCATAATCTTCGACTAAAATGCGCACATCACTTGTCCCTCATTTATTCTTCATATTGTAAGCGATTTTCTTTCTTTACATAATCACTTGATAACCTCTCAATAGGTTACTAGTTTTGACTGTATTATCACTGTCACATGTGCATTTCGAGAATTACTATTTTATTCTCTTTTTTCTTCAACTTGTTAGTTATCTGTATAATCAGGTAATAACAGATAAAATATACATGTATGCTCAGCTGTTCAATGTTTCAATATTACTCATGTGAACTACAGAAGTATCTCATTTAAAAAATATATTATAAAACACTTTGAGCGAAGTAAAAAGAAAAGAATAATATTTTCCTTTTGGGGGGAATAAGTGTTATTTATTCTTAGAGAGGTAATTTCTGTTGTTTAATTTTCTTAAAAATGAAAGAAATCGATCAGTTTATTTATATAGTTTACATTAAAAAAACAAAAGTAATGAAGTTATCTTGAAAATTGAATTTGTATTACCTAAATGTATAAAATATTGAGTAGTGCTGATGAAATCCTAAACTGTAATAAGGTTAAGCCTTTAATTTATCATTGATCAAGGTAGAAAACTGGATACCTTATTAGTGAACTAACTGATTAAAATGAAACAAATAAAATTACGTTTTTTTTTCTTTCTAAATTTGTGATACTTTTAATAGGAAGACATGAGTTGGCTATAGGTTTATATCCCCTTTTGCTAACGAATACTGTTACTTGTGAATCACAGACAACGCTCCATGTAGGTATTACATACAACTGACCACTTGATATTTAAAGTCAGTAATTGTTGCGCCAAAACAGAATGATATTACAAATTTAATTCCCCTATTTTTTATTATTTATTTTATTCCTTTATATTTCCACTGCAATATAGGGCTTCAAGCTACAACTTAGAAGTTTTGGTAGCAGTGGTGTTTACTTTAACGGGATGGGGTTGCTAGCCTCATGCCCTCCTTACCAGTCTTATTACTGGGTTAGCAAGGTAAGAAGTACATCGGCCTGAGTGCACTGTTTATCGTAAAAAAAGAGTAACTATTACTAATGAAGTGCAGATAAAAAAATGAAGATATTGTTTATGAAAAACAAGAAATATCTCATAAATGGGCAATAAATTTACTAACTAATAAATAATTTCGTGTTCTGAGGGTTAGAGTTTTACAGACTACCGAACCATTCCAAGCCAGGGATTACTAAGAAGCTTTTTCATTTTAATCGTTAATTCTCAATTAGTGCTTGCACAATTAATCCTAGCGGGTTGATGTTTAGAACCAATGATTTCAACTGATTCCATTATGGTGACAGTTACTTACCGACGACATAACATGTTGACTGCACCATACAACAAATCAGAAAAAGTTGAAAACCATGGGCTTTTGAATTCCGAATTGCTCACTAAGTAACCTGATGTCTTCTTATATCTAACTTCGTCGACGTGGTGGTTTAATACCATCAGGGAGTCCTAAGAAACTAAGATGTGGTCATTCAACGCTCTTTTGTTTTCAGTGCTAACTTTAAAAAGGTCAACATGTCATGATACTTACCTTAATTCCTTCATTCATTTATTGTACATAAAGAAATTTGTGAACTTGACAGATTACATTTATTTTGAAAATGTCATGAACAATGTATTTATTACTGTTGATATTAAATTTGATGAGTACAGACGTGTATAACAGCTGTGCGTATGGGATCGTCATGAATGAAATTTTCGTGTGCACAGTACTACACCATGATTAACTAGGTGGTGATTCGAGCACGGTTTATTGCTCATATAACTTATATCAATGTATCTACACGACTTGATAGCTTGTTTGATAAAGTCTTCCTCCCTTCTGGTTTTTATTCAAGTTTTACATATGTCTGGTTAAGACGTTGAGTGATTTCTGTCTCGTATTTTTGGTACTGACTCAGTGGGCAAAGATTCGACGAGTAACCTCTTTCTCGATCTTACTATATTACTTGCTAGTTCTATTACTCTCTCCCACGCTTTTGTGTGATTACATGAAGCGGTTGAGATGTTCTCCAGATTACTTGATTTATAAGGGTCACTAATTGGTGCACTGGCTAAATTTCTGTGTTGTGATTATCTAATTGATGCGGATCCACTAGTTTAACCTTGGTGACTGACCTAACAGTTTATTATTTTTCCTAATTGGATCTACGGGTTCTTTAAGACAGACAAATTTTGTCTCTGAGTGAGGTGATTGGTTTAAATGTTATCATAATCCCAGTCTAATTAAGAATCCTACTTAGAACTTCTAATTTTCCTAACTTATGTGATGGTGTTATCGAGGGTCTGGATTCCTTATTATTCATATTATTTTTGATTATTTACATCATTACCCTTATTCTCATATAATTATGAATGAAGTCTGGTAGGTTGTTATTCATTGTTAGTGCTTTCTTTGTTCATTTGACTTCCCTCTTTAAATCTATTGACTTAATACTAAGGCTACTGGGTGGATTGCATAAACGATCGACTAAATCCACCTTTACAGACATTAGATGGGGTGGTTCAAAGTCTGAGTAATCAGAAGTATCAATTATTGTTCAAGTCATTATCCCTTATATGGATATAACAGCGAAATAAGCTTTATTTATGGTCAAAGAATGAATAATGATTAGTGGGAATAACATTGTAAAGACGATAACAGAAATAAAAGCCGCATAATATGCAAAGTTTTTTTTGCATAAAGAGACAACATAGTAAATAAAAACAATTAGTAGGTACCCAAAGTATTACTGAATGATGTTGAGCTGATATTTTTGTAGTAGATTAATGAGAGACGCGGAAGTTGATTTCCTTTTTCATTTGTTTACATGAATTAAACATACTGTCATTTATTTCCACTGCTGCAGTTATGTAAAATAGAACTGCTGGCGTCTTTTACATAGACTACTATGCTACTAAATACATTATCGAGAGAAAAGAAAAAAAGGTTGTGTTAAAGATAGAGTGAAGCCAATCAAAAGTTAGGCTGGTCTATTTTTTATATTCACTCACACACGCCAAGAAATAAAGGTTTTCCGTCAGTTATTCATTAATCATTAGCCAGATATAATACTTTCCACTGACTTTCTGTTTCTCATTATCGAAACTCTAAAGAATGCACTGACCTAATTAAAAAATAAAATAAATCAACTGCATAAACATACATTTATTGATTATTTTTATGCACTGTGATTATTGATTTTTTTCAAACATATTTGACTCCATTCAACAACTCTAAAAAAAATAACCATAGACATAAATGCATATCATTTGGTTGAAGGTATCAATCATCATCATCCTGGCAAACCATTCAAATAAATTAAAACAAGCATGTCATAATTCTAGTTCACATATGACCTTAAATATCCGAATAGTCTGATGACAAACCGGATACCTACAGACACTTATGGTGTACCATTTGGTGAATTAGTCAACTAATAGCATACATACATACATACATAAGTGCATAAAGTAATCTTTAATCAACATAACTAGAAATAAACCCTTACAAAGTACCCAATATGAGTTATGTTTTGACTATCACTATTAAAAAATGGCAGATTGATTTAAATGTTTGAAAATAACTTTACTTTGTTGTTATAATCAATTGAAAGTTGTTGCAAGTATGAATAGCTAAATGAAAAATGAGTTTATAGTGTCCATTTAATCGGTCTTACACCTTTTTTTTCTGCATGACATATCGTAGTCTTTCTGATCGATGTTAACACTTAATTGACAATCTTCTGATCTATCCTTTTCTTTTTCGATACGATATAATAAAAGTAAATACGGAGACGAGATACGTTTGATTGACAACAACAGAAACAGAAACATGTAAGAAATGCTTACAAAATGAAATTTAAAGTGAATAATGACAAAGAAGAAAGGAAAAAGTGTTTTAATTAATTAGAAATGAAGGGATTAGAGGTTTAATGTAAAACAACAAAAAATTCAATTTAAAAAATGAAATTCAAGGGATTTGAAATGAACTGGAGAAATGTTGACATATAATTAGAGACTTTGGGAAAGTATCTTTTAGGGTGTTGTACTGAAACGAATCTCAGATATATTACCAAAGAATGTTACTACATTAATCCTACTTTAAACCTACTCTATTCAGTGTTTTTCTAACAGTTTTGAACTAATGGTAAAGATTTGTACCTAAATAGAATACCCTCCATTCTCTGAGATGAATAATTAGATTGAAAGATCTTCATTGTCTTTCCAGGGAGCATCTTCACTAATGCTTCCAAAATGAAGCCTATCAATCAGAACAAATGGTTCATGGTACTTTTGAGTTTTCATGATATTTTCAGATAGATGGACAGTGACCTTCTATCAGTTCGTATAAGAGCCAAGCATTACACATAATGGTTATAGTGAAGTAATGAGTTGGTTTGAATAAAACTTGTGCACTGTGGTAGAGTATAATTCCATTATGGGTAAAATTTGTTTTGATGAAGTCTCACAGTGTTATCCAGTAATCTTCACTGATGAAGTTTCGAGCACAATTTACTGCTCATAATCATATCAAGGTAATCACACAACTTTCTAACTTCTTTTATATAATTCCATTGTTTTTCATCGCTTGATTTGATTGGTAGTAGTATTTTCCATATTTCAGGTATGAGTGAGGAGTCATTCCTGTTGCATGTGTTGGTTTTAGACTCGATGAACAAGGATTCAGTAATCAACCTCTCTCCACCTACCTAGATTACTTTTTAGAATTTTAACCCTCTCCCATCCTATTGTGTGGTTGTGTGATAATGCATGCAGTCATCCACTGTTATACAATATAAGTAGAGGACATCTGAGACCCTACGTAGGATTCTCAATGAAGCAGGAATTACAGTGGCATTTAACCCTACAAACTAACTCAGGGACAAGCTCTGTAGGTTAAAGGACCCAGTTGACCCAATTAGACAAAATAATATAATTTACAAAATACCCTCCAATGACTGTGAGTTAGGTCAACTACATAGGTCCAGCTAGCAGGTCGGAGGTAGTCAGATTATTGGAATATAAGAATTAAGCTAAGGCAAGAATGGTTGACCCCGAAAAGATAAGTAATTTAGAAAAAAGCTCAGCAATTGCAATGCATGCGCTAACACACAACCACACAATAGGGTGGGAGAGGGTTAAAATTCTAAAAAGTAATCTAGGTAGGTGGAGAGAGGTTGATTACTGAATCCTTGTTCATCGAGTCTAAAACCAACACATGCAACAGGAATGACTCCTCACTCATACCTGAAATATGGAAAATACTACTACCAATCAAATCAAGCGATGAAAAACAATGGAATTAACAGAAAAGATTTGTAACTCAGGTGGATGATTTGGAATTGATAGTGTTCTCTGAGCTCCTTGGTTTAATTGCAGAGCTTTCATCGTCTTTCTGGACGACATCTTCAGCGCAATTAAACCAAGGAGCTCAGAGAACACTATCAATTCCAAAACAATGGAATTATATAAAAGAAGTTAGAAAGTTGTGTGATTACCTTGATATGATTATGAGCAGTAAATTGTGCTCGAAACTTCATCAGTAAAGATTACTGGATAACACTGTGAGACTTTATCAAAACAAATTTTACCCATAATGGAATTAGCAGCCAGATCTCATAACTTAGCTAGTGGAGCGCTACCCATTACGTCTGTGATTTCCTACCAATCTAAGGACGTCTCAGACTGTCCCACCATCAGTTTCATTTTAAATGATAAACTTCATTCTTTCTGTTTTCTGTCTACCTCTCATTTATATCTCTATTTAGTTCAAAGTTCCTATTTCTGCTTACATCTAGTAGTTATTTCTCTAATAAAAGTAAATTTATTCCGACGTAATACCTTTTTGGAGCACTTGTGCTAGTTTTAGCCGTAGCCATAGACGACTGTGCTTGAATGTATCACTTTGTGAGAAATTCTCAATTTTTACTTACTGAATCTGATGAGACTTACAAAATACATGATTGGTAAACGTGTTTTTAGTTTCCATTGTGTTCTCATACTTTTTACAACAGTTACATCTTTTTGGCCATTTTATCTCCTCCATTATTGTGTCTGTATTGAAGGTAAGTTATGTAACATATTGAAGATATATTGTACAGTAGAAGACGGAAGGACATTGGTTATCTCTATGTAGCCAAATTATGTACACCTTATCTACAGCGCACCATTTGCACACATCTTTCGTGTTTCTTTGTGTTTCTTTCACGTACCTATGTGTCTCCGCAAAGCTGAATCATTTGCCTTCTCTGGCGTCAAATCTATCTCTCTACTATTTGATGTTTCTGTGTCGATGAACATCTCTTTATATACACACTACTAATATATCTTATTAGTAGCACACGCCACAGTATCATACTATGAAACACGGAAGGTTGATGCGATGTACTGTACATTGTAAGCTATACTAAAAGCTAATTCAATAAAATGTTAAATGAAAACATTTCTGAAAATCGTTAGAAAGTATACTACATTTAACTTTCATTATCATAATGTTTTGGGTAATTCTGTCTGTTATTCTAAATGAATATTCCATTTAGTCAAAACTTATCGGACTGTAGAGAGTCATATGTCATACTAATGATATGCATCAAAAGTACTTGAATAGTAATGATAATGAGACTATTTAGTACATAGAAGTTGTTATTGATAAAGTACAGAATCCTTTTAGCTAATACTTATAGTAGCATGCATGTGAAACCTGAAATTTAACAACAACTTCATTTTTATGTTTAATAGTACATGCAGCAGAGCATTTATTATTGCAGTCAATCACTCGATATTTATTCCTTATTCTATTTGGTTTTATTAGGCATTTAAAAAGGTGAGAAAATTTTAAACGTTACTTTTCTACCTGTAAATTTCCTAAAGTAAACATAAAATCCAACTACAATTCCCCATTAATTTATTCTATGTTCACTAAGTAATGATATAAAGTGCAACAGTGTACTTATTCAGATACAGTAACAAATCATAAATTACATTTATTTTTTTTTCCATTTTTTTCCTTCAAGTTCCCCAGTGGAACACAGGGCTTCAAGCTAGTGGCTTGAAGTTTCTGTAGCAGTGTTTATTTTACAGGACGGGGTTGCTAGCCTCATGCCCGACCTTTCCTCTTTACCAACATTATTTCTGGCTCAGCGAGGTAAAGGAGTGCGTCTGCCGAGAATTGAACCCCTGACCATGTGCATGGTAGGCGAGCGTCCTGACCGCTATGTCACCGACGCCATAAATTACATTTAAGTGGGCGCTAATTTCAACTTTCTCAGAACTGAGATATGGAGTTTTGCTTTAGCGTCAACTTTTTATTTCCACTTGTAATTTACAGTTGTTGATTTATCTAAGCTGAGGTAGACGGGGATACGAGAGAATAAACATCATCAGACTGAAGTCCAAGACAGCACAGAGGCATTCATCTAAAAATGCCCATCGACTAGTGATAATCAAATAAACACGATCTGAATAAATAAAATAATTAAATAATCTAGATGATATCTATTCCACAAGGAACCGCTTTCATGGATCAGTAACCTTATAGATAAAGCACTGACGTTTGAAACGGTGAGCGCTGGATTCAACTCTTAATAATCACACTGTCACTCAAAACAGTAACAGTACATCCAGATGACGAGGCTTAAACAGAGTGGAACGTGAGTTATGGCATTCACTGCTAAATATCATATTTGATGTCACGCTCCAGCCTACTATAAAACACCGATCAATAAAAATGTAAATTCACCTCAGATTTGAAGCTGCAAATAGATGGCGAGTATTTAGAATTACTGATCTAAGAAGTGAGTTTGTAACATCCCCTACTACATTTTAGGTAGGAACCTTACTAGTCAGTTTTGGAACACTAGAATTAATTTCAAGTTGCAAAGCTACCATACACTTACATTTTATTCAAAAATACAGTTACTTCGTACAGTATTATTGATATAAGTATAAAACTTGGTCGCTGTGGTAGAGTATAACTCCATTATGGATAAGATTTTATTTTGTGACAAATCACACAGTGTTATACAGTAATATTAACTGATGACCACGTTTCGAGCACAAACTATTGCTCATAATCATATCAAGTTACTCACACAACTTTTTTCTTCATTTACATAAATGAGTGGAACTGATTAGATATTTGAATAAAAACCAATATAGGATAATGTACATTCAGAAATAATAATATGAGTGACCATCTGATTATAATTGATCAATAACACTCATATTATTATTTCCGAATGTGCATTATCCTATACTGATTTTTATTCAAATATCTAATCGATTCCACACATGTATATAAGTGAAGAAAAAATGTTGTGTGAGTAACTCGATATGATTATGAGCAATAGTTTGTGCTCGAAACGTCGTCAGTTAATATTACTGTACAACACTGTGTGATTTATCAAAATAAAATCGCATAGTATTCATATAATGGAAATCATATATTCTGCCGTTTCTAATTTCAATGATTAAATAAAACAGCAAAAGCTAAAAAAGTGTTGCTATATGTTGAAAATGTATGTTATTCATCGGCTAGAAGCTGAGATTTAGTCTAGGCTGTTTTTATTCAAATGTATCAGAAGGATCTACTTGTATAGTACTGAATATTGACACTTTGGTCCACTTAGAACGAGATCTAGGTAAACACTACCAACCTCTTAAACCAGGGACTTACAAATATTTCATAAACTAGATTGAATCATCTCAATTCCTAAATGAACTATCCCGAACTAATTTTCATCATAAAAAGTCAACCTTTGGCGTCATCTTCCCGAATGTGTGTATTGCAGAGATTTTTAGCTGCGTTTTAACTAGTGGGAGAACAGTAGCACACTCGCTTCTTCATGATTCTACTGCATTAAGCATATTTAAAGTACATTGGTTACAGGATTTCATCATGAGCTGACACTGGTTAGAGAACAATTGAAAAACCTGGGAGTATTGGACAGCTGTTTCCTCCCTCCTAGTTTGGGACTCTTCAGCAGCACGAAACCACCAGGGTACGAACCCAGGACCTTCCGGTTACAAGGCGAGCTCGTATACCATTAGGCCACTGGGACCCGATCCAATGGGCAGTCCATGAATTCTAACTTTTGCCAATTCACGATATAGCGCAACCTCTAGCCAATGTCTTCGGAGAGTATTTGTCCTTACATCCGACCTGCTGCACCCTAGTGATCACGACTTTCCACTGGAACCCCAGGTAACTACCTACCTGAATAGGGCCAGTCATCAACCAAATCCCTACAAACCAATGCTCAAAAGTAAATCATTTTCAAAATCAACTTTTCTAAATGTTTTCGTAATCTTACAATTCTTGTTCGATTAACTTGTTGAGTTAGGACTTCAGATCTAAATATTCTACTCACACACCCACACACACTGAAACATTTGACTTTATACATCACAATGGCGTTTCTAATTGTTATGCTTTAAACAAACCATGTTAAAATCATTTGAACTGTCATTGTTTCGTTACTTAGTTCACTCTTGAACGTTTAATCTATTTGTTTGAAAAAGTAGGAAAAAATATACCTAAGTGTCAGCGAAATCTTATACTTCAAAAGTTTCAAGATGAAAAGAACGCAGTCTTTTTGTAATACCCTGAGTACAAATACTTTGGCTTACAATTTCACCCTAATCTCTATCCGCGTAATTTTCAGTTAGTTTCCTGACTACTGTGAGCCTGAATAACTAAATTAATTTATGCAGTGACGGATTTAATCTGCTAATTGAGTCTAGAAACCACAATTTCCCTTCTAAGTATTATTCTGAGATATATTCAGTTCAGAGTGGTTGGTAGTGTCTCATAAGCATTTTTAACATATATCTCACTGTTATACTAGCCACTTTCTGGTTGTGTAGACTTCATGTTTGATCCTAAATTTTGTAGATATAAAGTAAGATTGTATACAGCCACCCAGCAAATTAGACAGTAGTGTTTGTAGTAGTCTGTTTCATTTCAACTGGCTTAAAATCTCTAGTATTTAAAGGTAGTATTTTCACTTCTTATAATAGTAGCAACAGTGGAACAATAGTTTACCTATTGAGTTGGTTGTCGATTTGAACGTAATAACGAAGCGCACTTACAGCATAATAAGCAATGGGTTATATGGAATCAAAATTACTGAAACTAGTGACGACAAATACAGAATGAGTTAAGTTGCATAAATATAAACGGTTTCTAAAGAGAATAAATGGTAGTCTTTCTGAATGGAATTCTGAGCTACGATCTTACATTGGCATTATGCTTATGGCGGGTTCATTCTGAAGAGTCCAGAAATCAAAAATTCTGCATATGTGGTATTATTCCCACCACATTGTAACACCTTAAAAGTATTAAAAGCTTCACCTGAAACATCGTTCAGCATTTTACATAAATCAACTACTAAATTATAGAATTTCGTGAAACAATCTTAAATATAAATTTATCCATACACAACACTTACTCTTTACTAATAAAACATTTAGGAATCTCACTGCAGGATCGATAGTGGAAATATCATAGTCACATTGTGTCTTTTAATGCATAACGCCATTAGCAACATATTTGGGCGTATTCATTAAACTCCAGCAAAATATTTGGAAAGTAGGCATGAGAAAGTTAGATTCAATATTCTCTACAGTCATGTGTACTTATTTATTCATTTATTCAGTTACAACATAAAATATCCTCTTGGATAATATTTTGTCTGAAATGGTTTAACAGTGTGCACGTCACACCACAAGATTTTCAACTTTTGCAGATCATACTTCCATTTGCAGATAAATACATCTATGAATATAATTGAATTGTTGTGTATAAGAAGAATTAGGACACAAATAATCTTTTCACAAGAAAAAGAGTTTCAGGTCAGCCACTCCTTATGTTAAATAACCACTTAAACTCTTTTAATTCATCTATGCAGTTTTTAAATGAATTAAATTGGCTAGTTAAACTGGTGTTAACTGACCTTGAGAAAAATGTCAAATGTTTATTGGTCAGATTTTGTGTTTAATACATTATTATATTATTATGACTGTGAGTTAAATAGAAATTCCATCATCTTATTGTATGCATACATGGAATCGAAAATGTTGATAACAACTTAATGAAACCAATTTTATGAGAATAAGCAGTTATTCCTTGTGAAGGTAGCACTTTGTTGTTGTTTAATAAGCTAAGCATTGGTGAATTGTGGGAATGATAGTTTACTGTGTAATCCATACATTTAAACGCAGAAATCATGATACCGACAACTTATAGGAATTTTTAGAACTAAAATTGAATCATGCATAACTAGAAAGGATTAAAAAGTTGATACATGTGAGAAGGACGCATATAATCAATCCAAACTATATGTAACAATGTGAAGAATTACTGTATATCAGTGAAAAATCTTTATGTTGTTGTAATTTTGACGCACATATGGTCTTAGGGTGAGATGCACAATGTTAAGACATAAAAGACTAGTTTTTGAATCTACCGAATCCATAAAACGAGTACATCACCAAATAATTTGGGGGTATTAGATTAAACCCTACACTTTAACTATGCATTAATACCTCATTTGAACGTGAAACATGTAGAAAGCTACAGAGAAATGATATCGTTGTAAGATTCCTGCGCAGCTATTGTTATTATCTTCAGAAAACTTATTGACTAACCAAAGACTAAGTATAAGTAAAGAAAAAGAGTGGATTTGTTCTCTGAATATCTTTGACTTCATAATACACCATGATTTAATACCATAAATTTAAGCTCCCTCCTAATTTTGAATAATGGGCAGTTCTTATTTGATTCCACACTCTTTTCCCTAGTGACAAATTATAGCTTAAATCAACCATCCATTTTTAATAAAGCCGAAACACCAAATACTGGATCTAATACAACTTTCCACTTATTTATTATTATTATTGTTCCCTTGGGTTCCTAGTGGAACGTAGGGCTTCGACTGCACGTCTCCACTTGCTTCTATCTTGCTTCTGCTGTACTTTTCACCGGCATCCACGTTAGTCCATACTCTTTCAACTCCTCTTCACACGGTCTCCTCCATGTCACCCTTGGACGTCCCACTCGCAGCTTCCCTTTCGGGTTCCCCTCGAGTAATCTCCTGACGCGCGATTTCACCAAACGGCCGGCCTCCTCAGCGAGTGTCCAATCCATCTCCACTTTCTCCTGCATATTTGTTGGTTGGCGGTTGGTTCTTGTTTTGTTAGTTCCCACCCATAGTTTCTTGTTGGTGATTCTTTCCGGCCGGCCATCTGATCTTCAGTATAGAGCCAGCGAAGACAGTCGTCGATAAAGGTCTGAAACAGGCTGTTGGAAATATTCTTTGTGACCCGCCCGCTCTCCATGTTTCTGATCCGTATAGAAGAACTGACTGACTTGACGCTGTTTCTATTGAAAATCCGACCGAATTTTGTTGTTTATGATGAGTGACGAAGATTTCCAGATTGGTTTCAGGTTGATGAATGTGTTTCTCGCCTTCCCAATTCTCGCTCGATTTGACATCCTCGTCCGTTTCGACCGCCTGTAGTTGAGACAATGCTCAATGCTAGATAAGTGAGTGAATGAAGTAACCTCTTTCCAATCCCTCCTGTTGATGGTGATTGGCGCTGGATGTTGCTGCTGTTGTTGTTGGTTGGTTGGTTGGTTATTTTCATCATCTCCGTCTTGTCTATGTTCACTTGGAGTCCTGTCTTTGCTGCTTCTCCGACCAGTTTTCCGGATTTCGCTTGTAAGTCTTCGTTTTTGTGTGACATCAAGCATAAATCATCCACGCGCGAAATCCAGGTCTACTAGGTTCTTCACGTCGGTCCAGGATATCCCTGTCCTCTCGTTGCCAACTTTCTGATGCATAACCCAGTCAGTCCACCACAACTAGGAATACCATTGGTGATAATAACCACCCTTGTCTGACTCCTGTGTTACAAGAAAATCTGTTAAAATAAAATCATTCTGTAGAGTAGATAGTAATAATACGAAAAGTAGACGATTCTTAATAAAGGCATTCAGGGCTGTTAGAAGCAAGACTCAAAGCAACATTGTTTTTGATTTCAGCTTTACAAACAAAACATTCCCCATGACCAGTGTGCCTAGTTTATTCCTACTTGAGATGATTTCGCCTAATTGTAGGAGAATGGGGTTCTGCAATATGCAGACGAAGAACCTGTTGCTATGATCATCGGTGGCGTCGGTTGGCAGTAGCGCTATATCACAAACTGATAAGGTTAAAGTTCATAGGTAACTGAATTTCGGCCCAAATAAGCCAGCATGGCCTCTTAACTTGAAGGTCCCTGACTGGATCCGTAGTGATGGCGTTAATATGTATAGGTGAAGAGTACTAAACCCGGACGAAACAACTGTCCGATGCTCCCTGGTCTTCAACTTCCATTTGACTGACGTTGGTTTGTGACGAAATCCACATTGAAATTCTATATTTGTTTGTTTATTATATAGACAATGCAATGAAACAAGGTTATATACCGGATGATGTTTCAAACACAATTTAATGCATGTAATTATACGACTGTGTGGTTCGTCTAGTAAAGCAACTAATGTGGGGAATCACATAATCTCACAGTGTCCGAATTCCTGACAGATGTTAGATAAAACAACCTCAAACAGATTAATATAATCTAAAAACTAGATAGGTTACAAAATGTAAGCAATGTAAAAAAAATTACATGAATAATTGTAATGAATCTAGTTTTCTGTTTTTGTATTAATCAAAATCTATCAAACCGATGTCCGATGTGACCACTAAACTGATCGATATACATCTCAAGTGGACATTTTTACAATTAAAAACCTCTCTAGACTACCTTAAACATGGCGTTGTTTCAACGAATATGATTTAGTGAATCAGATAGTTTTACATCATTACGAACGATAATCACAGTTGCCTTCCTTTACCTCTCATTATTAGTATTGGTCCGACGGATTTTTCCTATAAATGTGAGTATACGCAGCTGTTTACTTTAAAAGCAGATTACTATAGACTGTGTAGCTGTTGGAAGATAGTGACACCTCAAACCTGTATCAATTCGTAATAAGACTATTTATGAAATTGTAACACCTGCTCCACTACAATCTCTGTGTGGCATTCATCACAGTAGGCTGAAGTTCATTTGAGGTTTTCTTTATTTGATAAGTGAAATGACAACTTTATACTTTGTAAGGCACCAGCTCTAGAATATGGAAGCCATATGGTCAGATGGAAATATGTATACATGTTATGTGTGTCATTAGAAAGTTCTTATTGTAAAGTTTATGAATGATTACTGTGTCAACATCACCATATTTTCGTGAAATAAAACAACTGACCGAATAAATAAAAGCTAACAGTGAATATGGCACTCAGATTACCTACAATTAAGTTGGCATAACTATAACAGGATACTCTCAAAACCAATATTTATGCATAATAAATGACAATATTTTATATTGAATGGACACTAGTAACTAGTGTGATGTGCCTTGTCCTTTCTTTGGTACAGACTGAATTCTATCAGTCAGGTTTGCAATGTGGCCACCATTCTGGGTAGCTCGGCATCACGGAGTACATTGATTTTATGATATTAGATCGTTTAATGCAATCGGCCGGAAGCCTTGAGCCTAGGTTTCGTGCCAGTTAGGCACACGTCAACAAGGCATATCTGCAACCTTGAAGGAACTCATGAAAGTGATGGTGAGACCGAGATAATCCTGGTAGAATATGACTGAAGGTGAAATGGGAATCTGGGTTGATGCATGATTCAGACCAGTGGCCTATGGATTACTAGTCTGCTGCTTTACACCAGCTTGCAAACGATACCCGACTGGTAACCATGCCATCGTTTCACTGAAATAACCATGCCTAATGTCCAACTGTCATGTATACGTAGGATGTATCACTGTTTGTTTTTCATCTATCACAACATCAGTAGTTAAAATCCCAGTCTCAGACATATAAGAGTGTCGACTTTCTGTAAATTTAATGATTCACACGTGGAGAATACAGTTCCTTATTTCATAATGACTTCCTGTTTAACTATCTCTTGGACTTAAGAATGTTTATAGCCAAGATGATCAGTTAATTGGATTGAACTACACTAAACAATCATAAAACAAAAATTTCAGGTTTTTTTATTGTCAGCACTAATGCGGTGTTTGTTGTGGTAGTGTGAGTAATCATGCATAATACAAAGACTTTAGGATGGTGATAACGGCGTTCACAACCAAGATTGTCAGTTTAATATTGCCGAACAAAAAAAGACAATCACAAAACTAATATTACATGATGGTTATTGACAGGACAGTTTTGTAATACTCATAGTGATAATATAGTCGGGACCAGTAGATACACAAAAGAAGGAATAGAATAAAGAATAAAAAAAGTAAGCCAATGATAATAATTTTCAGTAGTTAAGTGTGTTTAAGAAGGTTGTTCACTATCGAGTACAAATAAGAGAGTATAAGGGAGAAATAAAAAGGGCCAAAATTATGTTATTAACAACAAAGCAAGTCATAGGTTTCGCGCTTAACATTGTCTCTGTCACTTAGAACACGGGCCGAATATGGTATCGTTGAGTTTCTATACTTGGTTGTACGAGTATATTTTATTTTGTACTGATTTCTGGTTCTACCTGATGAGATGCAAGGAGAGAGTTGGGAATAGGGGGGATGTTGGGGGTCGGAGAGTATGGTTTTTGTCCATTTTTCGCACGTATTCAGATGCTTATCTACTAATGTAGTGACGAGTTGACTGAGTTTTACACCGCTAGTCCTACTAACTACCTTCAACATCCTTCTCAGGATGGTATAGTCCTTTTTCAGTAACCCAGGAAAGACTAATGGGGAGCAGTAAAGTAGAATAGGTAGGATACGAGAGTTGACAAATTGTGAAAGCAGAGGTTGAGTGATTCCAGTTAGTCTGAGTTTCTTAATGTAGTAGGTTTATTGCAGTTTTACTGCTTTTG